TTACACTTTCTCCCTTTTTTACTTGTGCGAATCTCTACCAAATATATCTTTGTTATACCTGCTGGGTGCCATTCTTCGCCATGCAACGCGTCCGCTCCCCCTCTGTCCCTCCCCACCGCACCCCTTTCCCCTCGCTGACGCCCCCCACCGCAACAAGCAACCCAGTTCCGCCTATTGGTCAGCAGGGCGGGCGGCCGAACTCACCTGCACGTGTATGAAAACAATAATGTTGATGATGCTGCAAGTAATGTATGCGAGCAGTTTGGCAACAACGCCTCGCTGAGGGGGTGGACATCTCTCTCTCTCTCCCTCCCCCCCTCCCTCTGTGTGTGTGTGTGTCTGTGTGTGGGGGAATGTCGGTGCACTGCGTGTGGAAAACTCAACACACAGGGTGAGGTCAATATTTCTCTCCCTTCTGTATCAATATTAATTAAGAGCTGTTAGCTCGCCTGGCGCACACACTCACCCTTCATCAGCTTCCCATTGGCGCGACCGCAAGGGGAGACGATCAAAATGTTGCCTATATTGTTTCCAGTACAATATTGGTTTAAGCTGCGCTTTCGCGTTTTTTAAAGACCACGCGTCGTCATGGCTGTGCGTGTTTGTTTGGTCTGTGTTGAGAATGATCAGCTTCAAGCTAATTTTTTTAACTTGAAAGCAGATTTCTTAGTCCACGGTGCGTTGGAATGGTTGAGAAACTCAGTTCATCCTAACGATATGAGACTGTTTAATAGTTTTGGAATCGGCAATTGCGGCCTCTCTATTCACTTCGCCAGAAAATACAAATTTTGTTTCTCGTTTTTATGTTTTTGTTTTAGTCGTAAAGTAAAGTTCCTTGCCGTTTTTCCCGCCCTCTCAGTTCCCTCTTCTGTCCATGGCGAGCCGTTTTCCACTCTTTCAGAACGGGCTGTCTGATTAGAGTGAGCAGGCAAGCGAATCGCAACACGAAGGTTTTTTGCGATATTGTTTTACTACGAATACATCAGCAGCACGGGCCTTTTGACGGACGTTGTGACATGAGAATCACTTCCCGCGAGTGTTGTATGCATTTTTCAATGGCCCCGTGCATGCACGGTACGGCGCCAGCTGGGGGCCGCTAACTCCCCCTCTCTCCTGCCCTACCCCCATTCGCCCTGTTTCCCATTCCAGGAATCCCCCTCGCCACGCGAGAGCCGACGCATAAAACACAAGAGGAACGGTCCTACCTCGGCGTTGCCACAACGGTACGCGGCATCACGACGGGCGCAACGTGACGTCGTGTTCTAGGATACAAAGTTGTAAAAAAAATAAAATAAAATGTCAACACTTTGTAAACTGTAAAACGTAACCCTAATGAAAACTAGATTATGTATCCTAACATCGATCCAAACAAAAATAAAGTAGTACCGATATTTTTTTTAATTATCACACGGTAAGAATATCTTGGAATTCAAGCAGATTCCTTGGAAACTGTCTTGAAAACGAAGTAGATCGCTCGAAATCCAGGATGTAATTTTTACCGTGCAATGCGTGGGGAAACTTTATTCGTCTTTTGATTTTGCCTAGTATATATAAGAGCTATCGCAAGTTCAGTTGTATGGGGTGTAACAGTGTTGTGAGTTTGCCTACTCTTTCAGCCCACAATGCGCTAGGGTGGTCACAAATAAGGCTTTTGTGAGAATGTTGAAGTGCTTGTTGACACCAAGGGTGTAATTTAGTGAGGACAACTCTCAGAAAAAATTTCATCAAAATGGGACAATATTTGACCCTGCCGAATTGGTCTTAAACTTTTACATTGGATCCTTATGGAGAATTTGGCCAAAATCAAGATCGCATTTCGATAAAATAAAATACTCAAAATTGCGGAAAATCGCTTAAAATCGTAAATTTGTGCATATTATTTTCGAAATGAAATGTGTTGCGAATGCATGCGGCACGTATCCTGGCACGGTTTTTCGAGTAGATCACGTTTTTGACCGTTATATTTTAGTTCAGAAATTTTTTTTTGCTCTAGCCCAAATTTATTGATTTTGGCCAAATTCTCCATAAGGATCCAATGTTAAAGTTTAAGACCAATTCGGCAGGGTCAAATATTGTCCCACCAAATCACACCCTTTGGTCAACAAGCACTTCAACATTTTCACAAAAGCCTTATTTGTGACCACCCTAACAATGCGCCATGGCACTGTGACACGAAACAATATTCAAACCCGCATCACTAAACATGGAGGTGTTCGCTCTCACGACGTGATACCTGACCTGTGATTAAACTATGCTGTTAGTGTTGTCACATGAATGTGTGCGCCGCAGACATTCATGTTGACTACAGAAAGCTTGGTAGGTGTAGAAATTTACTTAATTTAGCTCTTTGTTTTGGTTTCATTTAACAAAGGAGCCTTCAGCATCAGAAGGGTGATTCCTTACTACGCGCGAGGAGGCTACCTACCTCGCGCGAAGGACCTCTCTCTCTCCTCTCGTCGTCGTCACACGCACGGGCAGAGGGAACACCATGCAGTACAGTGCCGCTTGTAGGAGTAATTTCCGTGGAAATACAACAAGTGCCCGCAGCGACATGGCGCTGTCCCCGCCTCGCGCGCCGTGCCTGTATGAGTCTGGTAGGAAAGCCCCTAAAGGGTTCGTTTAAAAAATTGGACAAAAGAAAACTCGACACGCGACAATGAACCGCTCACCTCGAGCGACCGTTTAGAAAACAGCTTACCTTTCGCTACCGTCTGGAAAATCGCTCAACTCTGCAGACCGTTTGGAAAACCGCTTAACTGACTTTTTTTTACATATATTGAGAGATTGGTATCATTAGAATCAGCGTCTTTCGGAGATTATGTATGCATGATGAATGTAAAAAAAGTAATTTTTTAAGCAGTTTTCCAAACAGTCTGCAGAGGTGAGCGTTTTTCCAGGCGGCCACCAGAGGCCAGAGGTAAGCGGTTTTCTAAACGGTTGCTAAAGGTTTTGGACGGTTTTTGTCCTCGCATATCGAACTGGGGAAGGATACGTCGATCGTACGTCGTCTTAGGGGCGTGCACAGCATGATAATTGTTAAATACGGTTTGCGAAAGTCTCTTCGTTTTCGCCTGTAAAGCCGCGTAATACCAGAAACGCACAACGCATCTCGCACATTTGCTCATCGCTTACGCGCTTCGAAAAAGGCATCGCACATCGCAGGAAATCTTCCTTTGTTTCCTGGAAGTAGAGCGCTAGACGCTGCGGAACGCTTTTTGCAGGGGGACTTCAAAGCTCACCTGCGAGCGAGCGCTCGCGCGAGCACCGTCGCTAGGATCCACGCCTCTACCTGGTTAGCTCGCGCGAGTGGGCTCTTCGCTCCGGTGAGAGCGCCATGCCAGTGAGTTCTCAGTAATCGCCCTGCTGTATGGCTGATGCGTGTCTGGCCGGCACCCTTGCCTGTCAAACATCTCAGTTTTACAAATTTTTTGTAAGCTCGAATTTTTAAGTCAAGTTGTAAATTTACGAGAGCACATTTTTTACTCGCCAATGGATTTCAAGTCGGTACGTGCTGCAGGTATTTTTACGATTCCAAATTGTATTTTTACAACTTGCGTCAAGGAAAATTTTCCTGTAAACCTACCTACTGTTATTCAGTGTCTATTTTTCACAGTGAATAGACTGGAATTTCGCTGTCCATGCCCGTTGGTTCGTGCAGCGCGTAAGCCGGGACCCGTACTCAGTCTGCACTACTTTGGACAGGGCAGCAGCGGTGCGGGTAGATGTGAGGACAAGAAAGGGACTGGGGGCGTGGAGCCCGGGTCCCCCCACGCCGCTGGCCGTTGGGACGGGACGAAGGGGGGGCTAGCTAACCATATACTAAAATAAAAACTGTAGGAAGTTGTTCTTATCGCACCCCGCTTTCTCTTTGCAAGATGATTTACACTGGAAGAAAAAAGGTGCCATACTCAGTCCCTTTGTATAGGCGTTACTGAAATAGTCGCTCTCTAAAGGTGCCATTGGCTCCCTAAAGGTGCTATTTTCGCGTATTTTCGGCAGTATTTGTCGCTGTACGAAAGGAATTAGTGCAGTAGCATCTTTGAAGGGTTGTTAAATAGTATACTACCCTAGTTTTTCCAGTGTAGCTTAAATTAGGTGAAATCAGACACGCATGTGCCTGTGCGCTCAAGTATATACGTGTTCACAACTACGTGTTTCGCCTGTTTCGCGACAGAGCGTGTTATTTGAAAGCAGAAACCGATTCTCTTTTCGTGACGTTGAGGAATATTGTTGCATGGCCCGTCCCGTGCCTTTCACCTACTCTGCTGACTGAGCAAATTCCCGCCCGTTTCTGCCGTGCGCCATCTCCCACTCGGTTCTCCGCACTCCGCTCTGGTCTATTCTCCAGCCCCCTGCTCAGACAATGCTCCCATTAGACCAACTACGCTCCGCGCGCCCCCCGTGCCCTGCGCCCGCCCTCCCGCACCTTTTCAGCTTCCTGCCTCACCGAGCCCAGTGCTGATCTGACTTCTGCGCGTTCAATTGTCCTGGCAGGCAAGCGGTGCATGCGTGTGTTACTTGGTT